AATGTTATCCAAAATACGAGTATTCTTGAATATTTTCATTACTCGTATCTAAACTTTTCAAAATTTAAATTTTTTTAAGTGTACAAACTTACAAAAAAAAATTTTAATATAATATTTTAAAATGGTTCCACCTAAATAAACATGTTTGATACACCTAAATAAAAAATTATGATATTCCCATAAAATAATGGCGGGAAATCTTACTAATTTTTTTTTTTAATAGAGAGAGACTATCATATATGTGGTCCATTCAATTGAAGTAAAAAAGTTGTTTCGATAAAAAAATGTTATCCAAAATACGAGTATTCTTGAATATTTTCATTACTCGTATCTAAACTTTTCAAAATTTAAATTTTTTTAAGTGTACAAACATACAAAAAAAATTTAAATATTTTGTAACCATATTGAAGATATATTATAGAGAGAGACCTTGAGGAATACCTAATAATGAAAAATTAAAAATTTCACGAATAGAGTATTATTTACAATTTAAATAGCAAACGAAGCACAATCAAAAAATATTACACTACCTGCCAATAACCAAATTAAACACACTCTTATGGACTTAATTAAATTACAACGCCATAGTTCTCAAACAGCGAGTCACAAAAATAACAATTCAAGCAAAACAAAGCAAATAAAAAAGTTGAAGACAAATGCAGAAGATATCAAATGACTATTTGCTATTATTTCCACGCTCGGTCCGTTTCCAAGCGACCAACACCTGCCTACCCTTGAAGCTGGGCCATGTTAGGTAGTGTAATCACACTCATACTTGTATACATATATGTATGTATGTTTGTTTCTCTTTGCTGCTTATAGCCCTACTGATTGCAATATTTACCGTTGTTGTGATTAAAATTTTTTCTAACTTTTATTCGATACTTTCTTTTGCGAAGAAGGAGAGCAAGTTCTTTGTTTGCGTAGAGTACCTTAGTGGGATCAAGTGTCTGTTTATTGTTTGCAGTTAGCTTGGTGTGGGCTCAAAAACATCTTTAAAAATTGGTTGTTTTTGTAATTCCAAGGAAATAAAATAATGCAGTATTTGTTTTTGTATGGCTTATGCAAATTTGCATTTGGTAAGTGGGGTCGTAGCCCGATTTGTTTTGTAATTTGAGCAGAAATCAAATGAAATCAATGTGTGAGAGAAATTGGAAAAAGTAGTAGTCTTTGGAGGCATTTGTATAAGTAATAATTTTACTTGTCAATACCGCAAACTTAATCAAATTTCCTTCTTTGCTCATTCGCAGGCTCAAAACGCGCACGCCTCTCCAACGAGACCGATCAGGACACCGGCTCCGAGTCGTCGCCCAGCAGTCCGCGCATGAAGTCCCGCAACTACCATGACAGCGGCAATCTTTCACCCACACGCACCGGACCGCCCAGCTCGCCGGAATCGGATCTCGATGTGGACTCAGCGCCCGACGAAGCGACGCCCGAGAATCTCAGCCTGAAAAAGGAGGATTCCACTTCGCCACCTAACACACCAACTGATAATTTGCATTTGCTGCGCACATTCAACAATGGCGCTGCACAAGGTTTCATGCCATATCATCATACGCAGTTCCTTGCCGCTGCCATGCCTGCTGCTGCTGCCGCCGCCGCTGCCGGCGTCGGTGTACATCCACATAATCAGCATTCACCGCATGCACAACATCATCAACATCAGCATCAGCATCATGCAGCGCATCAACAGCAACAGCAACAACAGCAGCAGCAACAGCAACAACAACAACAGCATGCGCTGCCACTAGCAATGATGCAACAACAAATACAAGCTGCACAACCACAACAACGTTCGCCCGTCGATGTGCTGCTACGCGTCTTTCCCAACCGTCGTCGCAGCGACGTCGAACAGTTGTTGGCGCGCTATCGCGGCGATGTGCTTCAAGCCATGGAGGCTATGCTCTCCGGCGAAGACATGACGCAGGCGCTTGCTTCCGCCGCAGTAGCGGCTGCCGCTGCATCGGCCGCGGCATCACCACCGAACGTGCCGCCATCACCGCCATTCCCGCTTAAGTCGGCCTTCTCACCGCTGGTGCCACCCGCTGCAGTGTTCGGCTCGCCAACACATCGCTACCCGCCCTTCATGCAGGCGCATGCGAAACGCTTCCTGGCCGGTCCGTATGCGGGCGCCGCGTATCTGCCCGGTGTGCTGCCGCCCGATGTGATCGATCAAGCGGAGTCGAATGGCGGTGCGTCGATGGATCGCAACAGCAATGCCGGCGACTCGCAAGATTGAAAAAGCTGCTGCAAACAGTGCCCATTGGGTGTGAGTAATATGTTCAGGCCGTATGTGTAGCGTGTATTTTGAGAGGCGCATGTGGTCCGCACTCAAACTGCTGCACATCACTTCGCTGCGGTGATTCATTCCGTGTATATATGTTGTCTTTGTAAATAGTGGTAAATTCAAATTACGTAAATCAATAGGATAGGAATAACCGTTATGTATTGTACATATGTATGTACGCATGCATGTGTATGTGTATGTTCATCCATTTTAGCCAGTGTTAACCAAAAGTGTAAGCATTTTATTCAAGCGTCGTTTATATATTATGACAAAAACATATTTTAGTTTAGCATAACCCTACATACACATGTATATATATATATGCATTTAAATATATATTCTTTTAATATATAAGTTTTATCTTTTAAGCAGCGTTCTTTGTATCCTAGATAAACTTGAAGCACTAGTTAAAACAATAACAAAATATTGAAGTATTTAAGAAATATATTTGTGCGTCGTTAAAAAGTCTATATGAGCATTTAGAAGTATATGTTCATACATACATATATACATAAGAAATGCATAACGTAAAATTATCGAGATATTTTAAATGAAGTAAACAATATATAAAATTAATTGTAGCTTCTAGTTATATGCAACAATATTATATACTATAAACTATATCTAAATACTGTGTTAAAACGTAAAAGATAATAAAAATTCTAATAAAAATCACGCTAAGTTTATTTTATTTAATAAATACAATACATTATTAATATTGCAGAGAAAATAAGAGAGCTGATGGTATTTTCATAGATTAGTCTAGCTGTATTCGTTTCAGTATTGAAGTATGTTGAATGGAACAAACAATTGATATAAACCAAATAGAGATAAAACAACAAGCGACTACACCTCTTTAATTAGGAATTCAAATTGTTCACTTAGTTGTTTCTTTTATTTCAAATTTTGTATTTTTCAATAAAAAAAAGACACGAAAGCAAAGCTTAAGAGGTTAGGACAGCATAGAATCTAAAGAGCCGCATGATTTAGACAATTTATCATGGACAACGAGGATTAGAGAGCAAAAATAAGTATTAATCATCGAAAATCGGTTTATTGTTTTTCAAAATATTCTCCATTAAGATCTATATACTTTTGCATGCCAGTTGTCGAAGCATTTTTTGCCACTCTCTGCAGGTGCCTAAAAACTCTTAGTTTAAAAGTAATTCGGTAACAAGTCAAGACTATACGGTGGATAACTTATCAAATCGATGTTTTGAGTGTTCAAAAATGAAGTTGTTACAGTCGATGTGTAAGAGCTCGAATTGTCGTTGTGAATAGTGATCCCTCTTCGGCGGTTGATTTTCCTGATTTCTTGAAAGATAACTGGAAAGCAATTGGTGGCGTACGACTCGAAAATTTACTGTTCTGTGCTGTTCTGCTGGTATTCTTGTGACATGTCCAATTTTTTTAAAAAACCGGACACAGTTTTGGCCGACCTTCACGAAATTCATATTGGAGTGATTTACAATCTCGATTAAATTCACTATACCATCGATGAACACTTATCCTTGAAGGAGCTTCATCACGAACAATTGAAATAAGTTCATCGATGCGCTGGTAATGTCTGAGTTAGTCCACGTCGAAAGTTGTAAAAAATAATCGCGCGAAAATGTTAGCGATTTAATTCCAATTTTGAGAGAGATGAAAATTTTATTTTACTGTAAACAACATGAATGGAGATCGTTTATCAAAACGTTCTGAGTATGTATAACATCCAAATCTTAAACTTTACGATAAAGTTGTAAGTTGCCAGATTACAACACTAGGGTTGCCGAATCCCGAAATATAAAAGGCAACCTACGTATATTTTTACCTTTAAAGTTACACTTGTTGAATGTTGAACTGATTAATCCGACCGCTTCGACACTATACCGATTGCAAAGAGAAATAAAGAAACGAATTAGGTTGTACCTCCTTAAAGAATTGTCTACGAACTCTTTAGTATTAAAGACTCGAACAAACAAACAAACGGCGATCGATCGATCGATCAAGTGGTTGGTTGTTCCACTTTAATGAATTATGCCAGCAACATAATTTCAACAACTTCTCATGTCTTGAATTCAAGGGAGAAGAGCTTAATGTAGCACGCTGAAAAATTATAATTCCAAAAAACATATGAAATAAGAACAATGTTATAAGTCAGTTAAAATACTCTCTGAGTTACTTACACCCATATAAGCTTTCTATCATATAAACGTCCTCAGAGATGCCTTACAGTACGCACCGAAGACGCAATTGCTGCTGTGGTACAGAATATCGAAGAAGACCCAAATGAGTCCACCCACTATCGCGCGCAAAAATTGGAGCTGCGCCCATCCACTTTATGGAAGGATCGGGGTTTGCGAGCTTACAAAATCCAACTCGTGCAAGAATTGAAGTCGAAGGACCATTAAGCCTTTGTTACTTGCCCGAAATCATTTTGATAACATAATAGCAAGCCATTAACTGTATAATAAAGCTAATTTTTGGCCATAACATTAAATTATATGCGTTTTATTTCTTCTTAAAAGCCACATGTCTGTAAAAACACCCTTTATTTTAAATTATAAAAATTATATTGTCTGTGACTCTTATGTCAGTATTTTTACTATAAACTCTATTGGGTCTATTAATAAACCCAACCACCTTTCGGATAATTACAAAACCTATAGAAATGATTTTCATTACCACCTAAATTCCAAGTTATCCCAGTACCGACAACTGGTTATTGATAAAATTGGAAGAACATGTGAAAATTTACCACCTTTGCTCTGTTGTGAGCAGTCTCTGCCATTTTATGTTTCAACAAGTCAAATGTTTATCCAATAACGTGTAATAACCGCGTTAAAATTCAGAAAAATTATGTGAATTATTTTGCGGAGAAGTTATATAGACGAAACAACTATATCTTGTGGTTATGACCAGATTATAAAAACGCAAAAAAACAAATATTTAATCTGTAGACATTTCGAAAGCAGACCATGAAATGTTTTGGATAATTTATTGGAATTAAACAACAAATATCAGTTCGCTATGAACTAAGAGGCCGTGGATGAAGAAGCTATCAACCTACAAGTGTCAATTCTTAAAACGTTGAGGTTTCGGAAAAAGATGTCAACTTAATTTTTATAATTTTATTTCGACTTTTTTAAGTGCTTTAAGGATTGGAACGCTGCTATAAGTGCATTATATAATATCTAGGGGTGATTACTTGGAAAGGAAACAAAATAGATATTCATGAATAAATAAACTAAAGAAATACAAAATTCGAGATACTCTTTGAACAGACCTCGTACTGTTTGTTTGTTAGAGTTTGCCACGATGTTTGTAACATCCAAAAGGAATCTTCAGAGTCCCTATAAAGTATATATGTATATACATAAATGATCAGCATGATGAGCTGAGTCGATGTTTGTCTGTCTATATAATCGCAAACTAGTCTCTTAGCTTTTGAGATATCGATCTAAAATCTTGTACACGCCCTTTTCTCTCCAAAAAGTTGCTCATTTGTTAGGACCGTTGATATCAAACCACTATAGCATATAGCTGCCATATAAACTGAACGATCGAAATCAAGTGCTTGAATGGAAAAGTTTTTCATTTGACGAGATATGTTTACGAAATTTGGCAGAGCTTATTATTTAAAGCAATAATGCAATATCCAAAGAAGTTGTTCAAATCAAAATCAATTTCTTGTTTTCGCGACCTTGTTATAAAATTTTCATATCAGTTTTTAAAAGAGTCAATGAAGGTCGATGAAACAACTATGTAGTAGGATCGAAAAGAGCTCAAACTAGTTTTAAGCAGGTTTTATATACTCAGAGGGGTACATCTTAATTACGAGGGACCCTTTTTATTACACAATGTACAATTTTCATCGATGATATCTTTGCCAATTCCGATCATAATTTGATAGTGTTCGTTTGCTAAATTTTGTATCATTTGTATGTCATTGAACTGAAATTGTACAGGAACTGAAACCACCTTTCTGAAAAATGAGTTGGACAAACATAGCAATGATTATAATAAATAGTAGAAATATTTAAATTAGAGTATTAATAGGAGAATCAGATTTTTGTGGAAGAAAATAAATTGTATTTTTTTATAAAAATATAACTTTTATACGAACTGAACGACGTTGCTGATGAAGGGAATTACTACTTAAACTTAATTAATTCAAATTTTGGTTTATTTCTTAATTTAATCCCAGTTCAAAGTGAGTATATTGCTCAAAGTGATATTTACTTCCATTTATAATTGTATATATTTTATCATCAAAATTTAATTTGAAGTCACGTGCACCATATCAATACCGCCCATCTCATTATTCCCACAGAGGCGGAAACAACAAACAAATTTTTGACTTTTAACTATAAGCGGTCAATAAGATGAAATTCACACCAATAATTATTTATCTTGATGAATATCACACCCATTCACAAAGGAGCCAAACAAAGCAGCCCCCGACGGTTGGTCACCATATTTTATAAATCATGAACACACATGACCGGGATTAGAATAGATATGTAACATATGAATTTGGCCAAACATTTTCAGCTTTAGCTGAACTGAGAAACGGCAAATAGTTTTCACAACAACAGTACAATAGTACAACAAAAGCAGCAACAACAACAATCATGTGGTAAGGATATGCTGCTGAATGTGAGAATTAATGACCAGCAGTAAGGCTAGGAGTGCTGTGAAAGTGGTCAAACAATCAACAAGCTCGGCCGGTTAACAACTACACACACACACACATGCAACCATATATACACACATGATTCTATGGCATTAATGTGTTTGTGGGATCAAGTGTGAAATCCCTTTTCACTTTTATGGCTACACACACGAGCCACACTAATCCCTGCCATATTTGTTGCTGCAATAGTTTAACTATTGTAATAATAAATTTATTATTTGTGTGCCTCCTGCATGTATGCGTGTGTTTGTGTTGCTTTTGTGTAATGACCAGCATAGAGCGTTTGCGCTGAAAATTTACAATAGCAAAATAATATAGTATCGATTACACAAATCAGGCGAAAATTTTATTAAATGGTATACCGATATATATATATATATATATTATGTGTGCATGCAGCTCTGTGTTTTCATTAAGCTGAGCCAATTTTTAAATTTTTGTTGAAAATATTTTATTTTAAGTGTTTTTAATAGTCTGCGTTTTTAAACGAAGAATTTTAGTTTAAAATGAAATTGAGAGAACACATTGAAAACGGAAATTGTATGGTCTACAAAATCTACAGTGATAATATACAATAATATTTATTAAATACGTGAATAGAACTGATATGCAGGTAAGTGATATTGAAATTTCGACTTTAAACTGTTCGAAATTACTAAGAAAGTGAAATGTTAGCCGAAAATTGTCAATACGCCACTAAATGGCACTTAACGTCTCTAAACACAAAAGGGCAGAACGAGGTGAGAACCATCTTGCATGGCACTTAGGGCGCTAGGTCAGTTAAGGATTTTCAAAAAATTTCTCTTATGTTTTTTTTTTGGCTTTAAGGTTCAATAAGGAAATATACGCTAAAGTGTCGGAGCATTCACGTTTTTCTCGAAACTGCATTTTTTAAACGGGGCGACAATGGTACGCGGAAACTTGAAAGTTTAAAGCTTTCTCAGTAATATTTTTTAGTAAACTATGTGCTATTTTTTTTGGTGTTATTGCA